CAGCGATTCAAGATGTCGGCGCTGCACAGCGGAATGGGTTGAGACGGTGGAAGTCTTAAGGCGGCGTGTTCTCTCCGGGGAGCCAAGTGTTAGGAGAATTAACAGCAACCCCTGATCTTGGCCCTCTATGCTATCTCCCTAATAATAAACTGGTAATTCCCAATGCCCCTATAAGTTACTCCCTTTCAACGCCACAATAACCTACGAGTGTTAAGACGTATTGTCTAACGGGTGTTCGCTGTTCGTTCTGCCATACGCACGACTCCTGACGATTATCGGTTGATGGATGAATCGAGAAAACACCTACTGTTGTAATATATATATATATATAGTGGAGATACGGGAAAAGAAGATCAAATTGATTGTTCGGATGATGCAGCAGCGAATCGACAACGAGTCGACCTCGATGTATGTATTAATTTTTCCTTATTACTTTTTTTTTTTTTTTTTTTTTTTTTTTACATCTTATATGTAGAAACACATCAAAATTTGTAAAAAAAAAAAGAAACTCGTAATCACCTTTCTCAGAATTATATATTTATTTTATCGACAATTTGAGAAAAATTACTTAAATAAAATACTTCAAAATTTTCAAAACTTATTCTAAATTCTCGATCGAGTCGAGAAAGAAAAGTACAATACATTCGATTGAATTAAATTTCTACACGTTTGAATGAAAATTCATTTTTGAAAACCTATGATACCATACCATCGTATACAAAATACGTACTTACAAAATAAACTTCTAAAGATAAAGAACGTAAAGGTTTCAAAATACACGTATAGTTGAGTAACGAAGAAGGGGAGGGGGAGGTAGATCGCGGTTAACGAACCAGAATTGTTGATTAATCGACGGTTTCTAATTTATCCGGTGAAGTAAGCAAACACTAGGGGCAAGACAGAATTTCCAGATTCCTCGGCAACGTTTACCACGATGGAATATTGATGATCACGCGTTTTGCATATGTACCCTCTTCCGGACATTTAGCGAAACTCCGTCGACCGGAAGGTAATTCGCAGTTCGAATGAATTCGTCATGATTTCGTGAGCAATGTTCACCCGTTACATCGTTACAGGGTACGCTCACCTTTATCATAGGCATCCACCGCGGCTTGCAAAGTGCCTTGCTTTCGAGACGGGTTTTCGAGGTGTAAAACGACGGAAAGAGTGAAAGAGAGGGTGGGAGGGAGGAAGGGAAAAAGAGAGAGAGAGAACGGCGGGGCTGTAAACTCGCGAGGAGGATTCAACCTCTCAACGGAACCGCTTGGATTTATGGGCATAAATTTCTATCCAATAAGAAGCGGCATTCTTGCACTTTATGAACGTGGATATTATATCATGCCAACGTTCAATGAAATATTTCGAAATTGGGGACAACTATGCTCGATTCGATAATTTAACGTAGGAACTATCAACTTGTAACACTTGTAAATATATTATACGTAAGATCGTAGGAATGAAAGTAACGTTGTGAAAATATCTTTCATGATTTTAATAATAATAATATAATAATGAATCTTAATCGTTGATTCGCGGCATAATCAATCGTAGATTCGTGGACATAAGTTTCTCATGAATCTAATCACATGCTCGAGAACTAGGCACTAAAAAGCAACGAGAAACGTCTTATTGCGCGCGAAGGACTTGTTCTCCTCTGTTTAGCCGTGGATATCTACTTCGTAGATTAGGAACGAAGGGAATGGTAACAGTGACCGATAAATTTCATGGTGACTGTCTCTTACTTGTAATTAAACGCACAATTTAAACAGGCCGTTAATGTCAGCGTGCCCAAACCAAAGTGTCTTCTCTTGGTAAGCGTCCTTAGAAAGCTGCTTTACCGCTAGGATCAATTGGATCACGTTCCCCTAATAAATAGAAAACCAGATTGAAACTAACGATTGAAAAAATGTAACTTGACGTTGAGTCAAGATTTACCCTTCTCAAGTTTCATCTATAGCTACATTTTGATATATACTTAATATTTAAATAATGATTTTCGAATCATATATGTATGCAGAGATATATCCAACGATATGTGTAAGTATGTATAAGTTGTACATACGTGTCTAATTTAAAAAGAATAATGATATTATTTCGAATTTGGATTCGAGTCGAAAATTCGAAAAAGTTATTTTAATTAAAAAGGTTTTATCTTTACACGTATTGTTAAACTAATATCTTAATAATTTTAGGAATTTATTGCGTTCTTCTTCTTCGTAGAAGAAGATGTCCAAGCATGCGTATCGTAAGAATTCTAGAACCGATAAAAAAAATACTTTACTTCGTAAAGCTTTAGAAGCTTGTTTATAAATTCTTCGTTCAAATAATCCATTCGTGTTACACGGCAATTATCATCGATCCGTAGTATCAAAAAAAAAAAAAAGGTTCGTGATTTCATTATGCATGCGTATAAACGAAACGCATTCCTAATTACAGCATTGTGACAACCCATGCCACGTACCAGTCGAACATCTGCGATCCATCGTGACGGATAAATCACCTTGGGACCACCCTCCAATCGCATCTCGGCCATCGCCTTGCATATAGACAGTTACTAATGAGCCAACCCCATTTAATTAACCGTATATAGCTTCGACGCAACTGCCACACTATTTCCCGCTTAGTACGCCATGCGTTATAGTCCTTTTTTTTTTTTTTTATTGACGAGCCCTTCCTTTATCGTCAATTCAGAGACTAAAATTTCGTCAACGCTAGATTCAAAATCTAGCACATCTGTTCGATATTTACTCGAGATACAATTTTAAATAATTTATCGACGATTTTGATGCACGAAGCAGCAGAAATTTAATAGAAATTAAAATATATAAATACGTACATATATTGCGTTGTATTAACCACACAACATATGAAATTTACGAAATCGTTCATTCTGTCATGTGTCATAAATGTCATAAATTATAAGAACTTGAGACATATATAGTATTTACATATACAAAATACAAGTTATTTCTTTAATAAAAAAAATTTTATTAAGTAGTTTAATATATCACGTTAAATTTAAAAATTTTTTTTCTTCTTTACGATGTGTTAACATTTGAGATTAAATATCATCCATTTGAGTGCATAATGTTATCTAAGATATCGATAGGTTAGATTTTTTTAAACCGTTGTACGTAAGTATACGTATAGATATATAAATGTTAACTATTATAGGCGTATATCTATGTAAAACATGACAAACATGATAGTAACTTTAATTGAACGCAAACGAAATATTTTTTTCAAAATATTGAATCGAACTTAAAAATCTTTGTTCATACTACTATATTTTTAGACTATTGACAAATGAGAAAGTTCAGATATGATATTAAAATTAAATATTTCAAAATAAAACTCGATATTTCTTTCATAATTATATGTATTAAATAATCAATTATTTTAATTCAATAATAAGATATTGTAAAAATAAAAATAAAATGACTATCTTTCTTTTTGAAATACGACATAACCAACAGCCTCCGTGGCGCAATCGGCTAGCGCGTTCGGCTGTTAACCGAAAGGTTGGTGGTTCGAGCCCACCCGGGGGCGTTTCATTTTTGTTTTTCGAATTGTTTGTATACGTCATAATACGTAATAAATATTGAGAAAAATATCTTTTATTCATCTCCTCGCAATTTTAATGCAAACAATTTCAAGCAAAATAATGTTAATATCATTATTTTATTACATCTTTCGATTTAATTTCATCAATGTAATAATTCATTGTTGCATTTTATTGTTGAAATATTGTTGAAAATGATGATTAAAGATAATACAGTATCAAAAATAATTTTTCAAGTATTGTGTTACATTATTTTTTTTATCACACATTTAATATCACATTGCTAATAAGATTTATTTTGAAATATACATATGCAAATATCAATCTGGTATTAAATATTGGAGATACAAACGAATTCAATTATATTTATATTATCTCATTATATAAAATAAAATTATAGTTAGGTAAAAATGTTATTTATATATTAGAAAAGAAAATATATTTTAAACGTCAATATTTAAATTTCAAACAATAAATCATCGAATATAAAAATAATTTTATTCATCCAACATTTTATTTTTCTAATATCGAAGTTATAAAACACGAAATACGAAACGTTAATAATAAATATCTATCTAAGAAAATAGAAAATCAAAAGTAAATTGTTAATAATGTGAAATATTTGTAACTGTTTTAAATGATAAAAACGATTACAAGTTTAAAAATAATTAAAATAATTAAAATAAATATAATATAATAAGATTTTTTAATTTGTATCATTATTTAAATTATAAATAGGAAAAATAAAAATAATTTATATATATCGAATTACAATATATCGAACTAGAACTATAAAATTTAATATAAGAAAATTGTTGTCAACGGCGCCGTGGCTTAGTTGGTTAAAGCGCCTGTCTAGTAAACAGGAGATCGAGGGTTCGAATCCCTCCGGGGCCTTGGCAAAAAAACCAAATGGTATTTTTTTCTTATAATTGCTTTTATTTTTTTTGATATATTTCCAAATATATTATGAAATCAATTCTCATTACTAAATAATTAAATATAATGTGCTGTAAATATTATTATATCATTTTTAAACGTAGCAGTATTTTATTTATATGCTATCGTTATTTTAATATATAAAATCCATAAAAAATATATGTATAAATATATATACGATGATTCCTTAATTATTATATAATATTATAACAATGTATATATACTACATGTAATTATTGAATCCAAATTATTATATCTTTGTACTTTCATTAATTACTATAAGAAAAAAATACAACTTTTTATTAATAGAAATCATGATGACATAATATAAAAATAAAAAAATAAATATTATATCACCTTATTGTTAAATAATACGAAAGTATTATATATGAATAATGTTATTTTCTCATTAAATTTTCTCATTTTATTATCGTTTCGATGAAGTATAAAATTTCACATAAAGCCAAATGCATAACGAAGTTTTGACGACAGTGTCGCCACATGCGCGTGATGTTACAAAGGTGGCTACCCTGCTACCAATCAATGAAAAAACTTCGTTGTTGTCGTTTATATAGTGCGTGGTGTTATAACCTTGTTGTGTGCCAAAATGAGTTTATATACGGATCCTCTTTGTTTAAATAAACATCGTTTATTTCTAGAATTAAAAAATAGCTTGTCGGGAAATATCAAAGATACGAGAAATATTTTAGAAATTCGTGACAACGTGTTGTACGTATGGAATGCGAATGATTCTTGTGTGATGACATTAAACGTTGCAGCATCGAGAGAAAAAGATGGAGATGTACTTTATCAAGTAAGTCAACAACGTTCAATTCATAATCAGATTATACGATTTATAGATAATTTGGATAATATTATAGATAATGGAAAAAAAAATAACGAGATAAGTCTTTACATCGAATTGCTTATTGTACACAAATCTAACCTATATAACGTGTATCGAAATGCGCGCAAGCGCTTTATTTTCTATCTTCATTCATATTTATTGCAATAATAATAAAACATAAATAATGAGAGAAAACGATCTTTATTAGGAAAACAATGTATGCTGTTTAACGTTAGTTAAGATAATCCATTTAAATGTAATCTATTAGAAAAATATTTGTGATGTATCTGTATCAAATGCACGATAAATTAAATACACAATATATCTATGGTTATCCATATAATTTTTATATAAATATATAATATTATATTTTTTTCGCTGCAATACAAAATCGATAGATAAACTCGAAACTCAAATATTAAAAACTGTTGAATTTTTAATTATATTTAATTTTAATTCCCTTTTATCACATGGAATGTTAAAAATATTTAAAATCGAGCGAGTAATTAATGAAAAAGTCATAATAAATTAATCGTTACTTGTACAAACATATTTATAAATAATATAATTCGAAATTCCAACATAATATCTATTTGCCCATTGCGATTCGATATTCTAGTATCTGAAAAATCATTCATCGTCATTAAGTTCGTTCGTAAATTCTTAATAAACTTGTAAAAAACGTTTAAGAAAGTGATTAAGGGAATGATCGTGCGAAAACAGCCGATCACTTTTGATTCGATCGTTGGTTAAAGAAGAAGTCAAGTCTCGATAATCGAGACCATTATCGTAGCACGATGCGTTCGCTTTACGACGATTACCGCGAAAGCGTTTTCTCCGGCGAACTTTTGATTCGGAGCGATTAAGCTCCGGTTAAATTATGGTCCGCGATACCAATATACATAGGCAGTGGCAGGAGCGCGGACATAGGTGGAACGCGTCTCGCGGTTAATCGGTGTACGTGCATACGCGCGCTAGTGGAAAATGATTACGTGGTAAATGAAAGGGAAGGGGGGGGGAGGGCCGTGAGTGGGAGAGTGGAGGGGATATGGCGAACACAGCGCGGTGAGAATGGGCAGAACGTTTCGTTCTCGGCTGTGCTTTTATTTCATTTCAATGGTACCGTAGGATCACCGGGTACATTAATGTCTCTGTGTCCGTGTACGTGGACCCGCGCGCGCGACCGACCGAGCGGACGCGCGAGAGACCAAAAGACCGGTGAGGGGATAATTTATAGGAAATGGGTTGTTCGACGCTCCGGAGTAATTTAATTAAAATAAATGTCCGTACCGCGGAGGAACGTTACCCACGAACCCGCGGTCCACAACTGCGAATAAAATGCAAATTCAGACCCTTCACCGGGTTACGTATGGGTATTCGTAGCTAGGTAGATAAAGAGTACCCGCCGAGGGGGAATAGAGGAGCCTCACCAAGGCTCCCCATCTCTTTCACTTTCTCTCTTTCTCTCTCGTTCTCTTTGGGGACCGATCATCGCTCGTTCACCCGTTGATTTGATAAGGGAAAATCCTGAGGAACCTCTCTCTATCCGCTTCTATCCGTCCCTCCTTCCCTGCCTTCTTCCACGTTTTATCGTATCACTCTCTCTTCCCGATTCTAGAATTTTAAGAGAAGGTTAGAAAAAAGTTGATCTTTCGTCCGTTTCGATTTTCGATGCACCTCTGCGTGTGTGTGCGCGTGTGTGTGAGTGAAACACACGTTGAAAAGAGATAAGTAGAGACGTATACGTGTACGAATGTCGATCGGTAAGCTAGAAGCTTTCCTCTCGTTCGATAGTTCGATAATCAATCGAAAAGCGACGATTCTTCCAAGCGGTAATTTTTCCAAGAGCCGATCGAATCGTGGGCCACTCTCCCAAGGGCCACTTTACGACCGGTACGTGCATGCGCGGTGGCCGACTGAAATATCGGTCGTAAATAATAAAAGTTAGCGAGGTTCCTCCCTGGCGCGCACGGCGGGACTTTAAACCGGAAGATAGGTGTCGCAGGATACGGACGAGGCAGCGTAGAAGGGGGCGAGATGAGGCGGGCGAAAGAGGGTGTGGGGCGGAGACAAAGACGCGCTATTGTCAACCGCTCCGCCATCGGAACCACCATCCGCCGCGGGAAACTTTGAATCATTTTTATTGCATAGAGTTATCTTTGTTACCAGCGGAACGAACGTCTAAACGCGTCCTCTCTGTCCCTTTCTCCGCTCTTTCTCCCTTCGTCTTCCTTCCAACCGACACCCCACCAAACTCTCACCCCTTCCTAGTTCGTACAGGTTATTCCCTCCCGTCGTTGGTCCTCGCCTTTCTGTTTCCCTCTACCTGCACACCCTTTTTGTTCTTCTCGCTCGACACGAGATAATACGAACGAGGAAGCGTTCACACCCCTTTGGCTGCCCAAATGGAATAAGTTCTTTAATTCGCGAATTTACCGCCGCTCTAACGAATTGCCCGTCCTTCTCGTCGAGATAACAAGCCTTCCTCTAGCTCTTTTCACCCAGCTTCAACTTTTAATTCTTCCCTCCGCTCTACCAATTCTCTCTCTCTCTCTCCCCCTCTCTCCTCCCCCTTCCCCGATCTAGACGTAGAATTATTTCTGTTTCGATATTTTTTTTTTTCCTCTCCATCGATCGATTTCTTTCCATTTGTCAAATCTCGATGTAGTAAAAAATATGTAGAGCAATTTAAAATAATTCAATGTAACTCGAAATATAATAATTGCGCATAAATATACTTTCGACTCTTCGACGAACGAATCGAAACGATTTTAATAATTATACGCGTCATTTAAAATATATGTAATATATCTGGGCAATCGTATATATTCGAGATATATATCACGATTGGATAATGTTCGTTTATTCGATCCTCCGATCAATGATATGTTATTTTTTTTTTTTTTTTTACACTTTTCTATGAGCCTAAAAATTGAAGAGAAACACGTTTAGGAATTAACTTAAAGCGATATTTTCGCTTTAAAGGAATAAGAAAGCGAGGTGAAAAACGTTTAGATTTATGGATATGGTCGCAATTCGCTTAATTCATACGATCTTTTCTATATCCGGTATAAAGGGACCATCTTATCTAAATTAAAAACTATTCGCGGAATCGCGTAGCAAGGTCGAAGAAAACAACGAAAAATCCAGGTCTCAGATTGCGAAAGAATGGAATATCTCGTAATAAGCAAAATCCTCGTGACGATAATTAAAAAGCAATTTTACGATGACATTTGTACCTACAATGGCCGCCTTTTTTCCCAGATGTAAATATTCGGACACGCGAGTACGCAGCCACACCGCGTGGCAATAAGAAACGCATACATGCTATATAACGTGCAAGTTGTGGAAAAACTCGATGTCTCGGCCCTGGTTTAATCAGATTATTCTCCGTTTCTCAACCGTTGAAAATATTTTCAACCGAGTGTCGTAACGCTTATCTTACGCTTGATACCCCTTTATTTATGAAAAAAAGAACTTGTCGAATTTATATCGACACGAATCCTAAATTAATCATTAATCATCCATGCTTACCCCAATAATTTCTGCAAAAAAAAAAAAAAATCGAAAAGATATAATATTTTTAAAGAGATATTAAAATTATCGTTCGTCACTGGAAATAAAGTATTATTAACTGGAGATAAAGAAAACACGATCCTATATATTCGAAAGATGAGATGAAAGTTAGAACGCTCGGCGAGAAGACATCTCGATGAAACAAACGCAAAGCCTCGGCCTCGGCACATATTGTTTTACAAGGTGTACGGTGATGAAGCCCGTGCACGAGCGTGCTACGAGTAAACGAAGGGGGAATGTAGGATGGTCCCGTCAGTTGGTGGGCACAGGTTAGGTGGTCTTGCACGTGCAAGTGTACGAGGAGGTACGTGGAGCAATAAAATTCACGGGAAGTGTTTTACATCGGTAGCGTGGGGGCCTTGTGTGCTCTGTGGACAGGGGAGCTAGGGTGAGACAGAGAGAGAAAACCTCGACGAATTCAGTAAGTGGCGGACAATAGCTTTTGTGGTGGACACGGACCAACTCATACCTCTCTCTCCCCCCTTTTCCTCTTCTCTGCCATGCGTATTTCGTTCGCGTCGCGCCACGGATACATTTCTCCTTCCGCGTAACTTCGTTTTCTTCCTTTCTTTCCTTCTTTTTTTCCTCTAACGCGCTAATAAATCTTCGAAAACAATCGAAATCTTTCTAAAAGTTTGTTCATCTCTTCTTCGAGCATCTCATTCTTGTCAAATCGATTTTATCGCGATAAAATATATTTTCGTTCGAACACGGTGAGTTTTTTTTCTTTTTTTCGATTAAAATTTACATTCGACCGTTAAAAAAATCGTGTTATACGCTCGATCGGCCTAAGTATCGAGAAGAATGGAATTTTCTAGCGAGCAAGGGGACTGGAGCGAGGTCGAGTGGCTTACGCGTCCCGCAGGGGGTGGTTTTGTCAGCTCTGGAATACCTTGGCAGGCTAATGCATTTCCTTTACAGTTTTAATGGGCATTCATAACTAAGTTTAATAATACCGGTAGGAGGGCGGCCGTCGTGGTTGCATATCTAATAATTCCACGGCTCTACCACGGCGCAGGAAGTGGCACACAGCACGAATTTCAGCAATGGCTGCTCGAGTTCATCTCTCTCCTCTACTCTTCTTTAAATTGTTCGACCTTCTTTCTCTTTATCCTTCTCGCGTCCTCCTTTCCGCTCTCTCTTTCTCAAGCCTCGTTCTTCTTCGACTTCCTTCGACCGGACACTTGGAAAGTTTTCATTCACCGATTCGAACCGATTCATCTATTATTCGTTTTCATAACGTTTCTTCGCAATAGTTGTCCAAAATTTCCCACTTACTTCACATTTCATTTTGACATTTTGGACCACGCACGTTGAAAACATTGCTAATTTTTTCGAAATAGGAGGCGAGAAGACGTCAAACGTCTTCCCCATCCACGATTGGGGGGGGA